CGCCATGGTCCTCAGTCTGGCGAGCCATCTATCGGCACGCCGCAAACGAGAACATAATCGGTCCGTCCCCGCCAAGCGCTCGATTCGCGTCGTTCACTCACCTAAAGTATTCTTGCACCGCGCGTCAGGTATCCGGCGTTGTCCGCGAGCCGGCAGGTGTTATCTCTCCGCTCTCACTCCATCTCCCATAGCAACAGCTGCGGGTGCGCGCGCGCTTATCCTCACACCTAGCAACTGGAGCTTGTGGTGCGAAAGTTTGTAGGAGAGGGTAGGTGCAGTGCTTCACCGCTCCTTTTCTCGCCGTTCGCTCCCTCTCCTTCCTGCACCCCACTTTCCCCTCCGCTCGCACCCCACTCGACGGTTCGCTGGCTGGGCGCCTCTCAACATCGAGTTTCCTAATATACACTAGAGGGAACTCTGGCGCTAGTGTCTACGGGAGCTGCAACGCACGGCGCTTCAGCAAGCATGGGAATGATGAGTAGTACACACATTTGTCTAATTTTCGTACTTCTGGCTCCGCGTGTGTTCGCGTGGCTTAGAGCTGTTTTTCACGAAAAATAAATTAGCAAATGTTCAGCGTTTGCACTTCACAACCTTATTATTTTAGGCTTATCATTTTGAATCGAGTCACAAAGTTCAAAAGGCATCGTTCTTTCCTTCAAAACAAAACCGTAACCAGCAATAACGAAGCCGCAAGTACGATTCACCACCAGCAAGTACGAAGACTAGGCAAATGTGTGTACTACCCATCATTCCCATGGTCGGTGAACGATCGCAGCGCCAGAGTACCCTCTAGTTAATTTTAATAAACTCTGTGCTTCTCAAGAACATCTGAAAATGTGTGCTCGAGACGCCGCTGTGAAACGCCAACGCCGAGAACGCTGCTCGTTTTGTTCTCTTCATAGTATTTTGTAACCGTGTACGCTAGCTACTGGAGCCGTAAACGCACACCGCGTTTCTCGCGACAGAAAAACGCCACGTGCGGCGAAGGGCGCTATTGGCTGCACGGTGTAAAAAAAAAAGAAAAAGCAAACATTATTCTTCTAACGCTGGCTTCTCACGTGCGAAACGCCATTATGAACGCTACTCAGTGCATTCGTATTTCCTTCACGATTCCCTTCAGGGAGATGGGGACATTTTTCTTCCATTAACAAACTCGCTAGCAGACGCTGCCTGCGTCGGCGTAGCGAGGCGAGGGGGAGCGTTGAGGGCAGAGTGAGAGGGAGGAAACGTACATGCTCAATGAGGGTGTGAACGCCTCGGGATGGGATGCCTAGAGGAGAGAGGGGGAACGAGCGTAGGCTTGCAGACCCTTCATGAGTCGGCGTTGCAAGGCGAGAGAGGAGGGAGCGTAGGGGAGGTGAGACAGGGGGGAGGGGACGCGCATGCGCAGTAAGGGTAAGCCTGCCACTCTGAACTCGACCATAAGATGCTTCGCATCTAATAAGCGCCTTCCAGACCACACACTCTATTTCTGCCACGATTGAAAACGAACGTGAACACGCTCCCAAGCGTGAAAGGCAACGCCAATGCAAGCAAGCTACCCTGCAGTGGAGATTTCGCGAAGCAGCGGCAACGCTGGCAAGTTGCTACTCCAGAGACCAGACGTTTTTGGAGACCAGCTCACACCAGTTTACAAGTCTCCCTGAGAAAAAAAAAATAGTTGTCGTGATAAGTTTAATATGCATGCATGTTTAAAAAAACAATACGAAATCCCTCCTTCTCCGCGAAGTGAATGATGAGTAGGTGGAAGCTCGAATGCTTATCTGTAAAACCGTGAAACTATCGTTGGAGCACGCCGGTAGTGTTGGCACCGGACTGGTCGTTGCGGATGGAGGCGATGGTGAAATTGTTGTCAAACCACAAGCGGTCGCATGCCTGACAGTTGTAGCCGAACGAGCGACCGAGGAAGTCGCGCTTAAAACGCGCGTCGGCGCCACCATCCTCAAGTAGCGACCGCTTTCGGCGCTTGACCGCCGATTTCCGCGCCCGCTTCCGATTCCAAGTTCTTTGCCTGTGCTTGCGTTAGAGTACACTGTACTTGCGTGCCTAGAGTTTCCCACAATACTAACTAGAGGGAACTCTGGCACCTTTTTCCTTCCTCCGTGTGGGTAGTACACACGTTTGTCTAATTTTCGTACTTCTGGCCTGCTTCTGGCTCCGTGTGTGTTCGTGTGGCTTGGAGCTGTTTTTTCACCAAAACATAAATTAGCAAATGTTTACCGTTTTTGCTTCACAACCTCATTATTTTAAGCTTACTATTTTGAATCAAGTCCTTAAGTTCAAAAGGGTTCGTTCTTTCTTTCAAAACAAAACCGAAACACAGCAATAAACGCAGCCGCAAGTACGATTCGCCGCCCGCAAGTACGAAGACTAGGCAAATGTGTGTACTACCCATCATTCTCATGGTCGCTGAACGATCGCAGCGCCAGAGTGCCCTCTAGTTAATTTTGAGAAACTCTATGCTTGCGTGTCCGCCTCTGCTTCGCGAGCTCTCACTTGGGGATCCGCTTGTCGACGAGCCCGCTTTGCTACGGCTGCGCGAGCCCTCGCCGCTGCCGCCACCTCCGGATCGATGCTGGCGCTGGCTTGCAATTGCTGCCGACGCCGGACGTCTCAGTCTCGCGAGCTCTCACCGAGAGGTCTTGGTGGCGGGTCCCGCATTGCGAGCTTCTCGCGCCGTGCCTTCGCTTCCAAGGTGTTCATGATGAGTAGCAGCGTGGAGATGTGCACTCACTGAGCTCCCGGCTACCAGAAAAAAAAAAAGCACGCCAAAAGCGCTCGCCTCAAGAACTAGTGAACACAGCGCGCCGTGGGACTTGTCCCGAGCAAGAGGAGCTTCACCCCTAAAGAAGGCAGGAAGAGGAAGACAGAGCTTGCGATGTAAAAATTCGTGAGCATGAGCTGGAGGCTCCAGGCAGACATCCACTAATAACTTTTGAGGCTCAACGTGCCAAACCACGATATAGATCGAGACATGCTGTAAGGGCTTCAGAAATTTGGCTGCTGCAGTTCTGTGACGTGCACCTGTGGCCTCAAGCATTTCAGCTTCTATCGAAAATTTGGCCGGAACGAGATCCCGCAGTGTGCGGGTCGGCAGTCAAGTAGAATAGCCACTGGACCACCTGTGGCGGGTGACACACGCCCATTTATGAATTTTAGGGAACGAGCTCCTTAAGCCTCGAGTCATGCATCCCTGATGTATGTAGTAGCAGTAGTAGGTAGCTACCTCTCGTTTAGTCCTTGGAATGTCCGCTGGATGACTGTACTTGTATATATGATGAAAAGATGCAAGATAGCATCTTTTCATCATATATTCATATTCACCATATATACATCAAATATTCATATTTCATCATATAGGAGTGTTCACTAGATGGATGCACGGACAGACAGAAGGACACTACGCCCCACTCATCATCATTCACTTCGTGGATATACCGCGATTTCTTAATATGGTTATGGACGGTTCCGTATGTTGTGTGTAAAGTACTGGCATGAATACAACTCAGGTTAGATTACGTTATACATTTCAAGCCTTATATGTCTCATGCGTAGGTTGCCTTGAGTGAAAAGTCGGTGTCACCACAACATTGCATAAAAGTAGAACTAAGGTTAGAACAAAACCAGATGCAACTACTCGTGACACTCTGGCATTACGTTCGGTCTTCAGTGCGTCACCACTAAGGATTTTACCTTTGAGTCCGCGATATATTTTACGATATCCTCGACATTATACTTATCCAGAACTACCACCCTATAAGAATGCATCTTGCATGAAGGTTGGAATCATGAAAGACGATTTTTAAAGGAGTACTGACATGATTTCCAGGCACTCCTAAAGAAACATTTTTCGTCTCCATCAACGCACTCTGCACAACAAAGCCAGACAATGTGCATAAAATATTTTACTCTGGAAAACAGCCCCACCATAATTGGGATTACTAGGATGAATCAACACAGTTCACCGATTTTGTGAAGTCTACGTCCTGCATGTAGCCTATACATAATCGCAGAAATTGCTGTCGGAGTCGCTGGACGACAACTCGCTTCTTGTTGATAACATGAATAACAATGTGCAAATGCCAGCAAATGACAGAACTGGTGCTAGTATCTCGCAGCGTGGCGTCAAAAAGCCATGCACAAACACGCTGCAACACGTACCTGTGACCAGGCCTTAAGCCCAAACCACACGTACATGTTAGAGCACAAGGCATGCCTTCTCCCTATGCATGCCCCTTTTTTACGGAGGGAGAGTGCAGGCAGCTTCATGTAGCTACGCAACCTCTTTTTCATTAGGAAGACAACACAGCACAAACTTAACACATCACGTGCTGATGCGTCGTAACGCGTACATGCAATTGGTGCTTTAGGCTTCTTTTTATGAGCACCGACACTTGTTGGCCCTCATCATAGGTGCCTGTGTCATGCACCTCGATCCACATGACTTTCGTATTTCGTCGAGGCCGGATGAATTACCTTGAAACCTTCACCACCGATATAGAGAAAATGGAAAAAAGTAAATATGAAATAAAGCGTATAACTTCAGAGCGTGCCGTCAATGCAGAAAACGAAATTTAAAGATTAAACAAAATATGAATAAAGAAAATAAAAACGAAAAATTTATAAATATAGACAAAGAATTAAGAGTAGTCTGTAACTGCACATACAGATATACAAATTTCAAATTTTTTGCCTGAAAGACACACTTGACTTTGAGAAAATAGACTTAAAACACATGCATGAACTACGGGGGGTGGGGGGAGGCACACCTACCCCCACCTCTGGATTTGCAATCACTAAACTAGGCTCAACATAAAAAATTACAGCCTACTGAAGTGAAGAACAACAGATCTGCATTATTAAGAACCAACACACAATCAAGCCAAGCAAAGTACTTTCCTTGGCTTTATTGTCAGTTGCCTGTCAAAAAAATGTTTCTAACGAAGAAAACGAAGCCAGTCGGCTACCCTTATTACTTTCATTAACAGAACTGCATGTTCATTATAAAAACAGTGAGTTTATTGTAATGTGCAGTATGTACAGGCAGTAAAAAAAAACAAGACAGCCCTCTTCCCCAAGAAGCCCTGCTCTTGCTCCTCCTCCTCTCAGCTGCTGGACTTCATCTCCTCCAGCTGCTTCTTGTACTGCTCCGCTTCATGAGACTTCTGCTGCAGCTGAACCTTGTACTGCTCGGCCTGTCTACGAAGGGCCTCCAGTTCCCGCTGGAGCTTGTCCTTCTCCTGATCCACCGGGGATTTGGCCTGTGCGAGGTCAGGTCACACCACAAACACATGAGGTCAATGAGATAGCAGTTGGTACGATCTTGGTACTGGCACAAAAAGCAAGCACGCGATACGGTTGCAACAATTATTCTTGCAACGTGATTGCTTTTTCATACCTGACAGACATCAGTGCAATATAAATGTGTTATTGTGCACCATAGATTACTGTGTAGTACAGTAAACTCCCGCTAAGAAAAACTCTGTTAAGACAAATTCTTCCTTAAGACGAACAACATGGGAATTGTTGTTTGGTTTCCCATAGACCCAATGGAAAAAAAAAAATCTGCTTAAAGGGCCACTAAAGTCATATAACAACTTACGTCAGAGCGAAAGCTCAATGCATGACAACATATAAAACAATATTATCAATAACAGTGCCCTACTTAACGAGAAATTAAGGTAAATGCCCAAGAACACAAGCGCCACAGTAGGACATTCTCAAAATGATCCCAATGATATCAGACGGGACTGCCAACAATTAATCACTAGTAATTGATCTAAAAGCACTAAATAAAGAACCTTCCATGCATCAAGAGACGCAATAAAATGCTGCTTGTTTGTTTCTGTTTGATTCATGAAAAAAATAACCACCAGACGTTACTGTGGGGAAAGGCGCGAGTGGTTCAAAAATTCAATTTTGACGTAGTTACACTGGACAGATGGTGCCATCTAGCGGGGCCCAGTTGAAACAAAAAAAAATCGTCTGCAATCTCGAAGCCAAGGGAGGGAAATGGATCAATGGCCGTTGTTGCTGCTGTGGCTCCCGCTGCTTTCGGTCTGCTGCTACTAACGCAGTAAAGCCGGGCAATGTTGTGAACGGCAACAGTGACGTGAGTCGGTCCGGTCAGTCCAAAGGTGGGTAGTTTGAAGAGCGCTAACCCGATGCGAACCATTAAAACGTGTGATTTTATTTTAAAATAGGCCCTTCCGTGGCACAAAAGTAACACTACGCGGTTTCTGGACCGCTACTTCAACAATCAACGTCACTTTAATAGTTGCCTTTAGTGTCTTTTTAAGATGAACTGCATAACAGGCCTTTTCTGTTAGCATGAACTCTCGCAGCAACCGACAACAACGGCAATTCTACGCAACGAACATTGTAGACTTGGGTGGGGCATCCAGGCAAATGAGAGAAAGCAAAAAGAAAGAGAGAAACTTCCTGGTGCAATGACGTAAAGCAATTGCGATGTGGAAGGAGGAAACGAGATAAGCAGAAAAGAAAGGGCAGTGCATAAAGCTTGTACCTCCTTCACCCCTAGTCTGTAGCAGAAAGGGCCGGTTTTATTAGCAAGGAAAGCAACAGAAAGTGTTCAGGCTTTTCTTATAGACTTAATGAAAAAAAAAAAGTCTCCTTCAGGTAAACCGCCTAACAGGCCTAACATGGACCTTTAAGGCACTGCACCCTTTTACTCTTCCCATGTTCTCCAGCTCCCCGACAGGAGTACAATGGAGAACAAAAGAACCCAAGAGCTTGGCTGGAGAAAATGCAGGGGGAAAAAGTGCCAAAGGAAAGTGAAGGTGGGAACAAAAATTGTCTGCACATTATAATAACATATAATGTGCATACATTTATCTTACACATGCAATGAAGGCCTATCCAAAAGTCATATCATAGCCAGTAAAACAGGCTCATGGAAAGTGACCAATTAGAAGAATAAATGTTTCATTCTTTGAAGGAAAATTGTGCTTGTCACTCCCCCCTTCTTTGTTTTTATAATCGTGAAAATAGGGTCATGCTACTCTTTCATTGTTAAAACATGGTAGCAATTTATTCATGAGCACATTTATTATGAACTCATGAAATCGAGTGCTCATTAGATTCGAATAAGTACTGTACATGAAGGCATAGATAGTTTTTATCCAGGTAAGCCAAATAAATGCATTTTCTTGTTCTATTCCTCCCCATCATAAGTATACTCCATTCAGTGTTTTCAAGCAACTTATTTAAACGCACTTGGCATGTTAGCATTTCTTTTTTAGGGGGCACTTCTAATAAGACAAGCAAATGAGTCTGGTCTTAATGGGAGTCTTCGGTACATCCGGTAACTAAAGAGTAGTGACAATCTGTCCACTGTACGTAGCCTCTTCTGCTACTGCATGCAAAGCAAGCCTTCTTGCATATATGAAGATTTCATGTAAGCCACATAAGCGCCGCCGAGTCGGGCTATTAGAACTCTGGTCCTCCTTTGTACATTGTGACATGAATCATCAAGGCCATGAAACAACGAACGCATCAACCCTACCTGTTTTTATGCGTGTGCATCTACAAAAGCACTATTCATTTTGTTGTTATAAGTACAAAACGGTAAGGCTAAGAGCCTAATATGGCAGCACCGAGACACAATCTTAAAATAATTTATGATATTTGAGAATGCATGCTTACACATATTTCAACAGCTCTTTCTTTCTTTTTTTCAATCAATAATCTATTCAGTATGCACACAATCCTCGTTCCTGTAGGTTTATTTTTTTTTTTCAGCAGCTCCTTTATTTTCTCTGTCTTTACAGTAGGAACTTCTTCAGTCACCAAACAAGGTGTGGCAAACAAATAGCCTTGTTTCAGCAAATGAGGCTAGATAAGCTCCAAATATTTACCTTGTATTCAGTGCTTTGAGTAATAATTGATATGTGGGGTTTAACGTCCCAAAACCACCACATGATTATGAGAGACGCCGTAGTGGAGGGCTCCGGAAATTTCGACCACCTGGGGTTCTTTAACGTGCACCCAAATCTTGCTTTAAGTAATGACTGCCTAAGATTACTAAAGGTAAGGCAGTTGAGACAAAAATATCAATGTGCTGTGCTTTTGACTGACTAACGTTCATTCCTCTTGCTGAGCGAGATTTGTAGTACTAAAAGCCAGCACTAAAATTTATTACATATTCACTATAACGGCAATTTATGACATATAGTTATATAAACACACCCACTTATTGCGCAATTCACATGTTTTGATACCTGATGCGATTCTAGGTTTCTGCCACATGATATTACATGCGTTAAAGAGACTCCTTCTGTTACATGACATTCATTTAGTGTTGTTTCCTAAAGCAGATTCAAGCAATGATGTGGCGCTATGATAGAGCACCTGCATGCCACACAGACAACATGGGTTAAATTCCCATTTCGAATTGAAAATTTTTATTATTTATTTCCTTTGCATCTTCCTTGATCTTTCGGTCATAGACAAGATGACGATTTTTCACTCACAAACAACACTGACGACACAGACGCAATAATTTCTGCGAAATGGGCTCTTTAACGCTGTCGCATCAATTTTATCGCACAGTTCAAGTGTAGGCCAACGCCGTGAAATCCACATGAGCTTCTTTGAGGTCAAGCATTCCATGTTGTCATGGCATGAGCATTTTATTACTACAACTGTAACTTCCCTTACCACAATACTTTAGGTGGGTGAGCCAGTGTGAAATAAATAAAATATAGTGAGGCTGTTCAGGGTATTAAACTGTATTAGATAGTTACACTTAGCGCAGAATAACGTGAACAGTGCAATACACAACAGATAACGGGGACAAATAACACTGTCCTGTTAGCACCATTTATTGTGTCCCCTCGCATGTTCAAAAGAAAAAAAAAACGCAAGTACGGCAGCTATGCACTTGGCTAACATTCGCGCATCTCGCACTTGCCTGAGATTCTGTCACAACAATGGGTGCAGCTGCCTGACTTCCCATTAACTTTGTCGGGAATGGACACTCTCTTTACGCGCTTTATGGGCGGCTCCATGGGATTCTTGATGATCATGTGCGAGGCGCTGCCATCTGCACAAAGGGTTCAAAAATCATGTGCACATGTCGGCGAACATCCTCTGTGTGACTCAACCGATCAGCTTCTGTCCATTGGATGCATTCTTTCATTTATGCATTCACTGATAGTCTCAATTTCATCATTAAACCGCCCCTACACCACTCCAAAAACGAGAGAGTGGTTTTTCATCTTCACTACCCTTCCCTCAGGCACAACCTCCTCTATGCCACATATTTCATAAAAACGTGCCGGCGGTTCCAGCACTAGACTTTGAGCCTATGAGGATTTTGTGCTTCTTTGGCTACGCGCTGTTCTTTTTCTATTTCTGCAGCTGAAAATGCACAATACAAAATGAAGTCACCTTGTAGTGTACAATAGTCAGGGAGAGACAAGGCAGAACAGGCATGAGACCTGGGATGAGACTATTCAGAGCTGATGTCACTTGTATATGGACCAATCGAGAGTTAACTTCCTCATGATCCCAAGTGAACAGACTGCTGGCACCAAGAATTGAGCCGAAAGAGAACAACGCACTCGTTCTTTGCATTTTCTGAGGTCGTTTAGAGGCTCTTTAATAAGGTGAGCACTGAGGTAAGCAGTTTGATTTTACGCGAAAAATCATGGTCGAGGCACATGCTATCACTAGGCAGTGGACGAGCCGCTACAAAAGTGAATACATAGAGGATTTGTCACAATTACAATTTTACCAGTCGTAAGCTTAAAATACGACACTTGTAGGTCATTACTTGCTCGATTCTGTCCAAATATCTGCTTCCTTAATTCATAGTTACAATGAACTGTGGCACTAGAAAGATAGCTATGACAACAACAGTTCAAACGATATCGTTTCCAGCAGGCAGCACTGCCCTTAATTCCTCCCGTTTCACTGATGGTGTGGGACAACAGTTGTAGCCAGAGATATATTTCCTGGCTTGCAGTGCACCACTGGCTAACTTTGTGGTACCACTGCAAGCCGGGAAAGACGGTAGTACACTAAAGGAAGAAGTCCGTCAGTGACCAATAACCGAAAAAAGCCTTTCACTAATTCAATAATTTCCAAGCTTATGCGAACATTTGAGTACTTTGAATATTGAAACCAATATTACAGTATTCAAATTTGCTTTGAAATAAATTTACATTATACTAAATTTTAAAGTATTCGAAATGATCAAATCGGCATATGTAAACTGCATGTAACCACCTGTGAGGGTGACTTCACCTCAATGGAGAGGTGCTATTGTGAATACACTTTTACAAAATAAAATACACACGGCTGCAAAGCCCTACCTTAGAATTAAATTAACATATTACTCTGACATCAATCCATAACTTTTTAAATTTAAAGACTTGTTATACTTGCTTATGTGGCTTAAGTATATAATATTTCAATACGTAACTTATCATACAGGTTATCGCTTGCATTATACTGAAGTTCAAGGCCTGTTACTATTCAAAATTTCTCCCACTTAGAACAAAAAGTAATTACATTGGTACATGCCTTGTTTCAGTTTAAAAAAATATCGCATAGGTTAATTTTTGTGCAATGAAAAATGTGCTCATTTTTCTTTATACCATGTGATATACAGAACTTGAACTTAATTCGAAATTATCCGACCAAATCACTATTCATTTTGGAATCGCCTCGAACCTAAAATATGCTATTAGCACAAGCCTAGAAATTTCACAAATTTTAACAAACTACGTTTCGGCATGCATCACCACCAAGAAGCACATTCTTACACCCTTTCCTCTCACTATTACCTGCTGCCTTCAATGTGGCACCAGAAACGACGACAAATGGTGACTGGCCAGCACCCGCAGTGACTAGAGACGGGATCTGTGACTGGTCGGTCACTATGGCAATCACTTTCTGTAAAGCAAGAAAAAAAAAAGCAATCGTCTGACGAGCTGCATTCAAAACCACTGTACATTACTTTTGCTCTTCAGTTTTCTGATAATGCGCTTGTTTGTCAACATGAATGCTCACATTTTTTTTTTTCGGTTTTTTTTCTCACTGTTTTGCCCTATAAGACAATTGGCTCATATATTTATGCACATAACATGTAATGCTGGCAGGTAATCTAACATCCTACGTGAGAACATTGCATGAGGCTATCAGATAATCAAATGAGTTATAATCAATGCGTTGCTTTCAATCAACACAGCAAAGAAATGATTCATGTTAGATGTTGCACTGACGCAAGACAAATCTGCACTCATACCTGAATATAACGAACACGGATATAACAAAATATTGGTTATAGAGAAGTAAATGGAAAATAGTCTTGCAATAGGTGTATTGTTAGAAATAAAGCTTTATAACAAATTTTTGGATATAACGAACTTATTTTGGAGTAAGATACAACTTTATTATAATGAGGTTTGAGTGTATATATAGGCTACAGTAACATTGTCAGCATGTTGGCAATCACTGTTGCTGACTGTTTCAGGATGGCCCAGTTAGTGGCATTGTGGCACCAAGCAAAAAAAGTTCATGCCAGTCACAAAATATGCATGCAATGTTTCGTCTGTTTTGTGGGATTTTGCGCATGGTCTGGGGTTCTTCAACCTGCACTTACATCGCACAGCACACCAACATTGCCTCCATCTAAACGCCCCGGCCTTGCTTGAACCTACGTATTTCAGGCAAGTAGTGTCAGTAGAAAACATGTAATGCTTATGACGGCTCAAAAAGACCTCTCATAACCAACACGACCACAGGTAAAAAAAAAGCTACTGGCATATTACTCACGACAATAAAGCTTACTGAAAATGATAAGTAGCGTCCCCTAGACAGCCTTGCCAGCCTAAGGATGATCCAACGCAGCCTCTGAAACTAGAATACTTGTGCACGCTTCCAATCCTTGAAGCAACACAATAAGTCACTGGAAGCTAAATTTGACTAGGCCAATGAAAAATAGCAGCCATCTTAATCAAGCAGCACGGCTAAAAAGGAGCGATGTATTCAGAAAATCTGAACATTCAGGCATAAATTAATGGGAAAACTCGGTAACGAAAATGCATTGGTGCTATATAGAAACTTTGACGGTGCATTTATAAAGTCCGAGAAATTCGTTGGGAAGACCAACTATGCAGCTTCTCAAAGGATTAAAAAAAACCTTGTTGGGAACCCACCTGGTTTCCAGCAGGGGTTACGTTGGAGAGGGAAACTTCATTGGTGGTTCCATCAGCAGCAACCGACTGCTGATCCTTCACCCAGTTCAAGGCTAGTTTACCAGCATCTAAAAATATTCGAACATGACGAAGTTAAAAGAATGACGCATAGAACTACAGAAAATCAAGCTAGGTGGTAGGCATTCATCGTAGAAAGAGCTGGGTGCACACACACGGACGCAAATGACACATAGCAGACCCCAGAAACACAGCTGCAAGGTTTTGTTGCTGCAGAACACAAAATACCGACAATTCCTCCTAGCACGTTCTGGAATGCCAGTGCCACACGTCAATCAGAGGTGCACTTAGGCCAGTGTAAATGTCCCTTTTTAGGCTTGACATTTAATGTTGAGGTACAGTTATGAAAAGATGGCTTCAAAATGCCCTTTCTCGATTCTTCATTTCTTAAGCGTGCAATATTTGCGTTGTCGAGTTTTCCTACAATAATGACTGTATGGGGTTTCCTGCGTCAAAATTACAATGTGATACACCGGACTAATTTTTACTGCCCTGGATTTTTCTATGGGCACGGCACATCGCCTCCACTGAAAACCGGGCTGTCATGGCCAGGGATCAGACCTGTCAACTTGAGCTAGTCAGCGTGAAACCTTACATGCTAAGTCGATTCATCGGGTGTTTCTTTTTACCTGTTACTACGTGTGCACACCCAACTTTTCACATTTTCCATTAGTGAAGCTTGCAAGGCAAGTCGGAGAATCTTGATGGTAAGAACAGTGCAAACGTAGAGCACAGGACAATGAAAGAATGTGCCATGACGATACGAGTGCCAACTGTGAACCCTTCGTTTCTTGCATTTGCCACCTATAAATACCTACACAATTGTAATGTTTCTTAACGTTTCATAACATTTGAAGAAGCACGCAGTGCTGCCTGTGCTTTCTCATGTGTTTTGTCGTGTATATTGCACGGTGCATTTCCGTACATTATGAATCAAGACCAACAAGCCTGGCTTTATGTTTTGTATCTACAATTGTTTGTTGTTGATAGTTCATGTAGGTATTTAGACATGGCAAACGCAAGAAATAGTGTATAGTAGTCAGAGCTAGTGTTGTCGTGCATGTGCATGTTCCTTCCTTGTACTGAGCTTTCCGTTCTTGCACCCAGCTTTAACCATCACATTTTTTATGGCTTCTGTTTTTTGTGGCACAGCTCAAACCTGCAGTAATGAAATCAGTGGGGAAATTAAAATAATTTCACTTTTGCGGATAATTGTGTTGGCACGAGAATGCCACAGAAAAAACAGTGAATTGACTAAAACACATTTGCTTCCCGAAAGCCAATAAGCTTACTCTGCCGAGCCTTTCCTTGCAGCGATTTCGTAGCTCTCGACCACCACTAAAAAGTGGTCCAGTGCCAAGTTGTCATCGTGCTCGTCCGAAAACGAGCTAACTGTGTCCAAGGCATTCGACACATCCTGCAGGGTCGTTATTTCTCCGACTAATCCAGTCTTGGATCACCGGGATCGCTGCCTAGCACACGCTACAGCTTCATCGGCAATTTCCTGTACAATAAAGTCTTCATAGATGCAAATGAACTCACTGACACTTAGGCCATACAGAATTTTGTTAGCCACGGCACAAAGTTCGCCCAATGCAATAGTCAGTGATGTGTCCGCCTACCAAGCAGATGTTTCTGCGCCAGCCCAATAAAACAATAACACGTGCCCACTGCAAAGTCACCTCAGATTCTAATGGCTTGTTTTTAGAAATGTAGTTTGTACTGCTTATTAAATGTATTTTGGGTTTCGACACTGTGAGATTACCCATACCGGTGGGCAAACCATTGTCATCATCATTGCCGCAAGCTTTTTTTAGTAAACAATGATGGCAATGGCTGCTCAAGCGCGATGTGGCGATAGTTTTGCATGAATGGGATAGTGTACCATGAATGCATTTGAGCAGTTTTTAAATGCAGTTAATGTTACGAAAGTAGATTATTTGCACACTCTTGCTTAAAAATTTTGTGAATGAGGGGCTGCGGTAAAAATATGCTTCGTAGTAGTGAGAACAAAATGCATTGAATCCTATGAGCGTTTGCCAGCGCCCCGAAATATTTTGTTGGAGTGAGAATGAGTCTCCTTGGGATTTCATTATCGTAGGTTCCAACTGTGTGACAGGTACTAGAGTTCCTAAAATTCTAAGTTTGTTACTTGATTGGAGCTTTGTGCGATCATACATAGAGTAAAAGCAGAAAAATCATGATTACACAAACCAATATCTCAGTGCAGTTATACGATGACAAAGCACTGTAAGTACGTCAGCATAGGCATGAGCTGAGCCAGGTATACTTAACTTTGTAAGACACTGCAAAGCCAAGTTAAGCAGCGACATTTCAAACAGGTGCACAAGCAGTCAAAAATATATAATAGTGAAACAGTTAAATTAAGAGCACGACTGCTTCCTTGTCATGTGGAAATGAGTAAAAGCTAACATGAAATAGCCCACAGAGATGGAATGAGCTGCAATGACAAGTGGTATCTACAAGTATCACCTGTTAGTGATATCGTTTGGCCGCCTTCCAACGCTGAAGCTACAATGGTGGAGTTGTCTGCAGGCAGCATTGTAATGCCATGCGTCTCGAGCCACTGAACAGCTTCATTCGAAGACAACGTTGCTAGAAGAAGCACCAAAAGATGGGAAAAAAATCAGTGCACTTAAGGCGCGAAAACGTGCAACAAGCACTTCGACATACACACAACATTCGCACGGGTGACACAATTCACATCAATTCTGTTACCGTAACAGATCATCAATTATTACCAGGTCAACACACTGGATGCCCCCTGAAACTTCCCTTCTGATAACTTAGCTATGTAATTGTGACTAGTATCTACCCAAGTTTGTCCAGTTCCCTCTTCTCATCACTCCATGCTTATCCTTCAGCATTACCAAAATACTAAAAGTGAAAAATAAAAACCCCCAGCAAGCTGCAGGTAAAGAAGCACACCAACTGACACAACAGACATGCCAGCTTGCAACATGCACCCCATAAACAAAGCAACAGTAGCTAGAGATTGAGAGAGAGCAGAGCTAAAAGGAGAGAAGAGTGAAAGCGAGCTCACTTGCATTGGGGGCAGTGGCCTCTGCAAGCGCTGCAAGAGTAGCCAGGACAGAGGGGCTTCCCTGGTCACTGCTCACTGAGGCCACAGGCAGAGAGAGAGAGACCCAGCACCAGGTGCAAATTAGTGATTAGCAGCACTCCTCACAAACAGAGCAGAGCCCATTTGCAGACTCGCACACTCTACAATGGTTCAAGGTACAGCTAGAGGGGCCATACCAAACTCACACCATGTACTCAGATGCTAGTGTGCAGGTGCCCTTCCACTGAAATCAAAGATTTCTGCCCCTTCTGATGTGTGTCCAAAGTGCAACATCCTCATCTCAATACACACACATACATAACAAATATGCAAATTATCAGTATATTGGTCCCAAGTGAATTCATTCTATTTTTATTCCAATTGACACTACATATCATATGACCTTCATGAAACATGATAGCTCGTAATGACGAAGACTATTGTCATCTTTGTACCTGCTACTCAACGTGTCACTAAAATGTTATGTTTCTTAAGTGTTCAATTTAATTCTAAAGTACTGTCTTAATCCCATCCGTGCAATTTGTGTGAGGCCAAGTACCAAACACAAAGAGTGGCCCATTATAGAGTAACAATATCAATACCTGGTGTGCAAGACTGTTTTCACCAAAAAAAAAAGCATATAAACTGGTTACAAATGAGAAGTACATATGCTGCTGAAGCAATCATGACCAAGGTAGTGGCTGTACTCATATTTTTTTTTTTTATTTATGCCTTTAATAGCACCTAAGCAGACAATACAGGCGTTCAATGGCTAGCATTGACGGTAAATCGGGCTAGTTAGTTGTTCATGATCGTAAAATAACAATGTGAAAAACGACAAAATACATCGAGACAAACAAGTTCGAAGTAGGCACTCATTTGTCTGTATTCATCCATTTTCTTGCCCGGTAATTTACAATCAGTGGCTAGAAGAAAGTATGACGAGAAACCTTGAAAAAGACCTCCAAGCTTTCTGGCATGTCTGGAGAGGGCGTACTTAAGGGAAGATGCGGGTCGAAAAACGCGAGTTTTTTTCAAAATTACCGATTTTTTATTTCTGCCTGTTTTGATAAGATTACCGTAATTACTCGAATCTAACGCGCACCTTTTTTCCGGTTAAGCGAGTTCATAAATCGCATGCGCGTTAGAATCGAGTACGAACAAAAAAATTACGGCCAATCTATTGCCACCGGCAAATCTAAAATGGCCGCCCCCTACGTGCGTCGGCATGGCGCGTCGTCCATTTCTGCCTATGTGTCTCTCATGTGCGGCACTTCGTACGTGTGCTGAGGAGTTCGTCATCTAGTAGTGCATTAGCATCGACGGCGTGGAATGGCCGACTCCAAAAACTCGAGTGCACCACGATGCCGCTTTTAAAAGAAAAGTCATCGCGTGTGCAGAAACGGACGGAAATCGGGCCGCATCGCGGTCGTTCGGAGTTCCCGAAACGTGCGTGCGGGACCGGCGGAAACAAAAGCAGAAGATTTTCGACAGCAAAGCTTTACGCAAAGGCTTCAGTGGACCACAGCAGGGTCGGTTTCCGCAAATTAAAGAGCTGCTGGGCGAGTATGTGCTTTAGCAGCGAGCAGCACAGCGGCCCGTGACGGCAGAACTGCTCCAAGTGCGGGCTATGCAATTAGTCTTAGAAAAATGTCTAATGCGGAGCCAGTTTTAAGCGAGCAGGTGCTGGCTAACTAACTTTATGAAGAGGAAAGGCTTTTCCCTCCGAAGGGGAACATGCATATGCGAAAAGTTTTGCGGAGGAGTACGATGAAAAGCTTCACAGTTTTCAGAGGTTCGTCCTAAACTTGCGGCGCAACAACGACTACCTGCTTGGGCAAATCGGGAATGCCGATCAGACGCCTCTTTACTTCGACATGCCTGGCACCACAACCGTCGAGAAGAAGGGGGCGAAGCAAGTTCGCGTGCTGACATCGGTCCACGGTAAAACTACAGTGACGGCAATGCTCTGTTACACGTCAGATGGGCACAAGCTTCGCCCGTACCTCATATTTAAATGGAAGACGCTCCCGAAAGGAGTCGTTTTTTCGAGTGGTGTGATCATGCGGGCCAGCGAGAAAAAATGGGTGCGCGTTGCAATCGATGTCTTACGTTTTTTTTTTTTTTTTCGCGGTGGAAATCGGGTGCGCGTTACAATCGAGGGCGCGGTAGAATCGAGTAAATACGGTAGTACCTCTACTGTTATGAAAAAAAAAAAAATACAGGTCGAGACTTAACTGGAAATTCTTTAAAATTGCATCTAAAGAGCACAAGGTGCCTGTTAAAAGGTCCAAAGTGTGCAGTCTTCGAGCACCTTGCCACCGATAATGTGCCGCCGCTCGCCATTGTTGATCGCATTAGCCGAAAAGTCGAGCCTCACTCTTCAAGCAACAACAGTTTCCCTTGCTGATGCGGCACAAGAAATAATAAAAAACAAGCACGCTTCTGCGCGTTTTTCGAGCGCCTCAACTGGCTTATCACGTGGTACGGATCGGGGACCGCCGTTGGCCGCTGCGCGCCTGTATGTACTGTGAAGCCTATTTGCGGGGTCCATGTCTTGTCTAGCAGCGCAGCTGAACAATGCTTTTCTCGTGTAATTATCTCTGTTATGAATGAAAAAAGCATTGCTCGCAAGTGAAAGCCGTCGTGCGGCGCGCTCTGTAGGAATAGGCTACGAGCAGCTGGTCCGATTTGCGGCAGTTGTTGGCTTGCAAAAGCCAATGCATCAAAAGTCATTCACAGCCGTCAGCCAGAAAGTTCCTGATGCGGCAATGGATGACGTCAGCACCAATCTTGCGAGATCGAAAGAGCTCGCAGTGAGAGAACCTAGCAGGGACGCTATTGCCCTGATGTACGACGGTATATGACACAAACATGGCCGCAAAATGGCATGACACTGGACATAACTTGGATTTCGCAGTCCTTCCAAACTTCTTACTAGCTTGCACTTGGCACAAGGCTCTGCCAGATGGAGCGGAAGTTTGGCAAGCGTCTCATGGCCCTGTCTGTGAGCAAAATGTCTGTGAGGAGTCTGCTCGAAAAAGCCGAGGGGGACAAACTCATGGAGCTGGCGCATTTTAGTCGCAGTGACCACTACAAGAAGGATTGTTCTTATTGGTGTACAAATTTTGTCAGATTTAATGATATCTTTCATAAATAAAACCTCAATTTTAACTTAAAAACTCATTTTTCTCAAAACACAAATTTTGCCATTTTTTTCGTGCCCCTGTTTTTTCGAGCACTTCTATTGCTCGGATCTGCATGAAAGTTTTCCCAAGTATTTTCCAAAGTATGGTGAGTGCAATTATCTAGTTCAAATTTCAATATTTCATTGTATAATAAAAATATTTTATGTAAACGTTTACTAAGGTAGGTGAAATATGGACTTTTTACGTCTATTATTTTTCACGCCTATTACATATTTTGTATGTGCTTCCTAATTAGTTATTTGCATACTACACTTTATTCCATATATTATGAACTATGAATAGTAAAAAAATTACGGAAGTTTAGGGATGAAAAGAGGGAGGGGGGGCAAAAGGGTTAAGGTTTTCACTTTGTCATTTCACAGAGCTAAATGTAAGGAACTTGAAAGAAAACTAATTATATATTTGAAATCAGCATAAAAAAGTTCCATAAACAGTTTAAGTTTAATTGCTCTAGGGTGAATATTAAAAGAAAAAGTGTCTTCGAGTAGCATCTCCCCTTAAGTGCATCTCATATATGAACATTTCACACGCTACATCACTTTTGGCAAGTCATTCTGGCCTTTTTGTGATTATCATTGCCATTCCATCCCCAGTGAATGAAAAGCAGGCATAAACAAGAGACAATGAGGGAGAGCACAAAAGGATGTGATAGGAGAGAATGGTGAATGATTGAACCAGCCCATCTGAACGGCGTTGAAAAAGATAGTGGATTAACAGTGCCCCGTACCATGGTTCATTACGATATTGTTGGTGAGTAACTGACAAGAGTGGCACAGGAAGGAAGCCTTGCATAGACATTGGCTGCGTGCCGATAATTAAATCACTGCCATCGTACCATGTTCCAAAATGGGCAAAGTCATGACAACAGACTACACCTATCACTCTTCGTGGCAGAGGAGGGCAGGGAGACTGAGCACAAAATTGCAACCAGCCAACGTAGCCATGAAAGGGTCATTTGATTCACTATACATTTACTATTACAGCACTTATTTGCAAAGTTTTTACGGCAGCACAATCGCATTGTTTGTACAAGTGTGCAGCTGTACCTTCTTTACAAATTCTGAGCATTGAAGTTGTTTACTGGCCATTCAAACAGCATTCATGCGACCCACAAGAAGTAGCATGTCACACAATCACAGCTGTGCCCAATCCACAACAGCAACATGGAAAAATTGTCACTGAGAGTGAGCAGAAAGTGCCAGCACCCCAACAAGTCAACACACCACGCAAACCTCTGCACAAACAAGTTCGTCACCAAACATGCCTACTTTATGCACTTTGAGCTTGCCTTAGATAATACAACTGAATTTTCTGGTTTCCATGAGGGCTGTATCAGCGAGATTCCATTGCAGATGCCCCTATAGCTGGATTCACACGAGCGGATCGAGGAAAACTTTTCGCAGCGGACGGTGCATCACATGAGCACATGTTATGAGAACTCCTCATCCTCCCCTGTCCGATCTCCTGCCCCGCTTGCGCCACGAATCGAAATGCCTCACACACAAACGTAGTTTCAAACGGCGTTCCATCTTGGATTGAACTCTTGTACCTGGTGCTCTAGCAAGAGAAGCATTGCATAAGTGCACGATTAGAGAGTATGCACGTGGATATGTGAGCCATGCTACGGCTGTTACATGTGACGCCTCCATGGTTTCGTAGGGTATAAATAATCACGTGACTATTCCGACCACGGAGAAGCGGGATTTTTCCCTCTCTTGTGAATGCACCTTAACAGAGAGCCTTTCATAACTCACTTTCTTCAGCAGTGATGGTTGTGGAGGAGGCGCTTGCAGCCGCCGAAGTAGGTCGTGGCCCCAGCCGAAGTGGCTACAGAAACTGCAGGCACGACTTTGGTCAGTGTGGCTCGCTTGACAGAGGTTGTGTTTGGTGCCTTGGCAGCCACAAACACAGTGCGTGTTGGTGTTGCCATTCCGGTCGCTTTAGCCTGAATGATGGTGGGACTGCCAGTAGTCACCAGTGCAGTTGTGGCAGTAGGGATGGTCTTGAGAAGCTTGTGAGTAGTGCCTATGGCCCCAGCTGGGACCTACAAGGAAACACTCCACAAAATGTAGCACATGTCTCGCTGAGGACAGCCACGTTTGCACCACCAAGATGTCATACGATAACTGTGATCCAAACAGCCTTATTTATGAAACCACATAAAGACAGCAGGTGTGATCCCACAAATGGTTGACAGGATGTGATACGATGGTAGCACAAACAGCATCTATTTTACAAGTGGGACATGTTCCTGCATTGTTTATACATAGCTCATAATGCGTCAGTGTTTGCGTGGTGCAGTTTTCTACTAGCTTTTTTTGTAACCGCACTGCATTGGTTCCATAATGGAAGCATTAGGCAAGTGCTTTAACGCACATGAGAAGCACTGCTTTGTGCTTGCTGCAGGCTACATGATTGTTTTGGGCTAAGCTTTCGGACATGCAAATGAAAGGTCATTTTGCAATGCATCTGCATACCTGCTAACCTAGCAGCACGAAACTTCAAGAGACCGCAGCAGGGGGGAGGGGGGTTGCATGTGGTCCGCTTTAATTGCGTCTGTCCACAGTGATTGCAAAAGCACGGCATCTCAGAGCCTTTGCAATTGTGTACTAGGCATCTGCAGCAGTTTCTCCGATGATGGCAGCTGATTTTGTTTGTTCGCACCCGTACCACTATATGTCCTCGCCCTTCATGAACATTTTTTGAAACAACGGCCCAGCGTGATCACTAACAATGAGCGGCGTTCCACAATAAATCCTGTAAACAGGCATTCTGCATGGATCTGCCTATCTTCGCAGCTCAATTGGAAGAAACTTCTCATGTTGTGCTGCTCCTTCGCATCACATACGTAGTTCTGAGAAAAGTCACCTGCATACGAGTCCACAAACTGTTGCGAGTACCTCTTCTTTGCTCTTAGCACTGCCATCGACCTTCCAACAAAACTTTGGGAAACACGCAATCTTTATAACCCCGTAACAAACAAAACTAATGCCTAAGCAGGTGGAATAGGTCTAGCATACAAAATGCAAGAGCCAAGACAAATAGGTGCAAAGTTGTGATACGTTTTCTCTCGCCTATTTTGGTACAGTGGCCAGCGCGTCTCGCAGCAGCCGACCTTACACACTTAGCGGGGCTCTACCATATGTTAGAAGTGTGGCAGCTTGGGCTAGTTGGTATGGCATGACGATAGTTATAGCGCGAGAACAAAACGACGACACAGAGACAAGAAGGACATGAAAGCGCTCGTGTCTTTCGTGTCCTTCTCGTCTCTGTGTCGTCGTTTTGTTCTCGTGCTATAACTATCGTCCGGTTCTACCGTATGGTTACAATGAACTTCAAGTGTAGTGGCAAGTGCTCTTTTGCAACCCCGCAACTGTCAAAGCAGAAAAGGCGAACATACATGAGTGATTTACAAAAAAAAAAAGAACTCAACAGCGCCGGCCACTTTTCTCGGGAGATTCGAGACAGCACTTGTACAATAGGGAGATTCAATTAAAATTCGGAGTCTCCCAGACAATTCCAGAGAGTTGGCAGGTGTGTGTGCAATCGGCATGTACCTAAATAAACTCATAGCCTAATATAAAATGCATGCAGCTCAGTCTGACCTTATTAAACCACTTATGCATCAAAAAACACGTATAGAACAATATTTCAAGAAAGCATACTCATTGGAGCTCAGCCGAGACACCCGTAAAGGTTCACACAACAGACCACCATTCATTTATATACAGTTTAACCCCTTTATAAGAGGCACTGATATAAGAGACAACAGTGTGCCTACAGTAAAATACGGAATGATAGGAAAATGCCTACGAGGTCCCCTGCTTATAAGAGACATCTCATATAAAAGACAAGAATCGCTGCCCGGAGCATGCCTCTTATAAAGGGGTTTAACTGTACATATAACAGCACACTAAAGTGGAAATCCAAAAAACAGTGGGAAGGGGAAGATGGAAGCCTGCGATGAAAAACCCGTAGACAAGGGTTGTCTCGAGCTGACATTTTGGCAAGCTGACTTGTCTTCCTCAAGGCTAGAACAGAACTCAAATTCTGTTCTAGCCTTGAGCAAGACAAGTTTGCTTGTCTAAACGTTGGCTCGACACAACCCCTGTTCACGGATTTTTTCAGTTCACTGAAGGTGTGTCCTGATAAAGTATCTTTATATGGCATTAAGATTAAATAAGTTTATCAATCACATTTGCTAAAAAAATTATAAAACAACAAGAACTTGATAACATTGTAAAAAATTGAAATTGTGAAATTCAAGGTAATTTGCTTAACCTTGGATTGCCACAGCAGAGGTTTCTCCAAGACCTCTTGATTTGAGAATCCCAGGAATTTTACGAGGCCAAGCCTTTTCAAAAATAAATACTAGCATCAAAAATGACATTCATATGCAGAAACATGGGAACAAATATAAACTGATTTACCTTAGCCACTTGTGTAATGGGCAAAATGAATGTTTGTTCCACAGTCTCTTTGGTCCGGGTCGGATTACAAACATGTTCCTGAAACATCCGCTTTGTCAGACATGCAATCGTGCACTCTTACTTTTGATACATTTGTAAGCAATGTTTGAATACTATTTAATAGCTCATAAACTGTGCATTACATTACAGATTGTTCTCATTTCAAGTGGCAGTCCACCAGTTCAAAATTTGGAGGAATTTCTAGAGCAGGAGGAAGGCAATTTGGAGCCCTAAGAATGGTGTCTAGGATCGCTTGCACAACAGGGCAAAACACTGTGTGTTTGAAGTATTTTATGTAGATTTTTGTTGCCATGTGAACAAAAAATGCTGCTTTAATATAAAGGAAGATGCCGCATCAACTATTCATCAGACTCTCCCTTCACAGAGAATTCCATAATTCTTTATGCCTGCCGAACTGCACTACACAAAGTGTGAACTGCAGTCCAATGACCATGATAAGGGCGAATGTGGCATGCCCGATTTTTGTGAGTGAAAGGTGTCAGAACATCATTCCGAATGGAAAAATCAACTTGAGGGGCCCTGCAACAGTTTTTCAGAATGCTCAGACAACGTAGCTGATTCATAGCTGAGGCTCTGAAGAACATGCTAGTCAAACACTATGACAGCCTGCGACACGGAATTGGCAATTTTTTTCTCAGTCAGCTAGAAATCATTCCCACTTTCTTTGACAAATGATGTCGTAAACTCAAATGATCGCGCCATACCCCCAGAGTCCGCGGCTGCTGCCTGATTTCAGCAATGTGAGCTGAATAAAACCGTGGCCACTGCAGGATGTCACCACGTGCCTGTGTGCATCCTCCCGACGCAATTGAAATTAAGTCACACGTTCAAAAAAAGAAAAAAACTGAAGGATTTGATGCGCAATGACAAAGGGACACACATTCTTGCCCCTTGACATCACCCTCCCCGCACAGCTTTTAGAGCACTCGCAAGTGCAAAAGGAGAGAAAGTGTTCAATTTAATTAAGTGTGCGAAAAATTTGTAACTTGCCTCGTACTTGAAATATTCTAAAAACATTTGTGGCTGTTGTAAATGGTTTCATTAAAAGAGCAACTAGCTTTTCTAATGAAGCCATTTGACCCTTACTTTGAAAGGTGCTGCAGGGCCCCTTTAACCAAAATATGTGCAACCTAACCATTAAGAATTCATTAAAATATTAGAGACTTCAGTCTACGTCCCGACTCCCACAACAGTGCATTTTCTTGTGGTCAACCTATTACAACTAATGCCTAATTATGTTCGATTATTTTTCACTATTATTGCGCATGCAAATTCTAGAATATATACACCACATGCAGCAGCAAGTGTACGTGATCACATAAGAAGGGCCAGCCAGAGCATGTATTTGAGACAGAAATGGCTGCTTCCATGCAGGCCATGGCCAAAGTTGTGCGTAGGGCTATGGTTCTCGCAGTGAGTTCCAAGAAGGGAAGTTTCAGGGCACCCAGAACAAGTGCGGCCTTGCCCTGTTCACCCGTTAAGATTCTATACAATCTAAGTTCAAGCTAAAAGTTAGACATTGACAATGCCAACATATGTTCAAGACACGAACTAACCACACTGGGCGGTGAGGGCACAGCAGTTATCAAAATACGTGCTTTTCATTTTCTTTATCCAGTCCATTTTTGGTGTCCTCTTATTTCCAGGATGAGGCTATCCAGGATTTATACAATGCACAATGAATGCATGCTTATTACAAAAAAAAAAACATCATTAAATTATTATCTTTTCATTGTAGTTACATTATTTTTTTGTTATAGGTGCATAGTAAACATTTCAAGAACTCTGACTTGCAGCATTTTTCATTCTCATGTTTTAACCAAAAATGTTACCCAGTGTATGTAAGCACATTCGTTGCATGATTAAATACAGGAATGTATAGAAATTTAGCTGTGAACATGAAATAAAGATATTTTTTCTAACTATGGTGCCGTTTAATAAAAAAACGTTTTTATAAGTCGAATGTCAAAACATAAGTCTATACAAAGTGATCCACCTCCAAAAGGAAGTAACTTCCACAATAATTTGCAGTCTGCTGTACAATATTTTAATTAAAAGAGTATAGCTAGGACTTCTTTTACACACTGCTGTATAAATCCTTTAACATGGTACCAACACATGCGTCGCCACCACGCTATGGACGGGTGATGCACCCACCTGTAGCACTCTGACCACTTCAACATAGTCATTATCTAGGGCGATGTCGAGCGGCGTCTTCTCAAACTTGTTGGTCGCATTCATATCCGCACCCCACTTCAGCAAACATTTGATCACCTCCAGGTGGCCCCTCTCCACTGCCCAATGAAGGGGTGTCATGCGCAGCTGGTAAAACATAGAGGCACAAAATGTGGCCAGTTAGTCACTGCATGGAAAGTATACTCTCAGCTCACAATGCAAAAGAAGCCCCTACATGAGAAGCGTGTGAAAGATGCTAGGGGGAGCAGAGTTGGCACACTCGGTCCTTTCTGTGATACAACTGGACGCAAGGTTTGTGCAGCTTTCGACGCAATTCAATGCCTTTCCAAGAAATTTTCTCGTATTATGTCAGACACAGAATGTTGCACTTTTTTTCATGAAGTTTTTCACTTGCATAGCACACTATCACAGTACTGCATAATCTGGCTTAGCGCTCACGTCATTTATTGTGATAGGTTTTCTCCGAAGAAAAATGCTTTCAAGCTACAGAAAGTTGTACGACATAAAAAGAAGAAAAAAGACACATTGGCCACACATTGTGCTTCCCTGAAAAAAAAAAAAAAGTAACCGGAGGCGATGAAAAAAAAATAAGGACAAATGATGGGTAAAGAAAGCAGCATCAAACATGGGAAGAGAACAAGCACAAGCTTCTCATATACAGTAAAGTGGAATCTATTAAACTGAACTGCTGCTTAAATAGAACACTGCCTCTAATATGATTGGTTTCATACTAGCATTCTGCATCTATGTTCACCTCTTAATAAATAGAACTCCTGTTAAGTGGAACATATTTTCCTGGTCCCTTCAGTTTCCTTTAATTAGTCTACTGTGCAGCAGCGATTTTGAGATTGCATGTATTTAACCTAAGGGGCACAATTGTTTGTCGAGAGAGAGAGAGAAGTAAACGTTTATTTTCAAAACAGTGCCCCGAGCAATGCCCCATGTCACCCCGAGGTGGGAGGGCTCCTTAGTCCAGGAATGTTCTGGCTTGATATGCTGTTAAAAAAAAAAAAAGATGACTGTTTCTTTTGCGAGATGAACTAGCTCCGTGTCATTTTAGCGGTATAGGTACTGAGATTCTAAAAACAAGAAATTGGAAAATCTCACTTCAACAAATCCACTAAGACGCGATTTTCTGCAAAGAAATTAGAGAATAGCGCAGAGATAAAACTTGGATTCTGGCCCTGCATGGGGGGTTCTAGTCGTTAAACGAGTACTGGCATGATATTGAGGCATCTCAGAATGGACATTTTGTGTTTTCATTACATGCACTATAAATGCTCTCCACACACAGTTAATTTGCGAATTCTGAGTCGTGCATGCAGCTTGGACACAAAAATAGCCGTCAGAGTCGCTAGATGACAATGCAATCAACATTGTTTACGTTAGCCTACGTGTGACTGACAACAAATGGCAGAGCTGGAGCTCGTATTTCGCAAGTCGCAGTTTTACCATGACATCAGACGTCTGTTGACGCGTCGCTATGGAGCCCCCTCGAAACCAAAATTGCATCTTAAGATAACAATATTAAAAATATATTCAATGCATTACCAAGTACTACGACACTGTTTTAAGAGTTCTAAAAACGAGTGTTTTTATTTAAAGGAACTAGCCTAAACTATTTGAGTTTCGTGTCAGTACTTTCAGCACTTCTGGCTCTACTGTTCTTGCCTGTCTCTATGTACGTATGTAAACAAGGTCTATACTCCATCTCAACACTAGTGTTCATCACTACCAAGTGATGAGGGGTCAGTAAGCTACACGAATGTGCAGCAACACACAATTGCAGAGCAAATTATCTTATAAATTGCGCTTTTTTGACACGTGTTAAGTCACATCAATGTGTGATGTTTATTCTTCGTGATGTCGTGTGCTCTTAATTGCTGTGTCAGTAACCGCTAATAATTGTGGTTACATATCAGCATAGAAGCACCCATGCAGACATGACTGCCTGACACGATTCAAACTTGTGTTTGCTATTTGTCCACTGCACTGGCAGCAACAAATGAATGCTGAAATGAACCATACCTTTGTGCAATCTTGCACTGACGACAAAGCATCGCACACATTCTGTCGTTATTTGCGAGATCAGCTGTTTGTTTAGGCACGCCCTCTAAATCTACCATGCTGAGAACTTGATAACGGTTCATAGAAATAACACAATATAATCACGAATACATTGTTGTCGAAGTATCAATAAATTAAAATAAAATACCTAAATACAAGCGCCAGTAGGTAACATGCGGGCCACACAGCACACAATGGCGACTCGATAAATTTGGAGTGGAGGGCACTGGCTGCAGTGGTTGCAGCCACCTTTCTTTTTTTCTGTTTGTTTTGCTCACCCGATATACACAAGCAGATGCCAGGAGACGGGGAGAAGAGGCGGTGAATACACGTGGAGTGGCTAATCACCTTTCTTAAAGGCTAAGAGGCGCTGTATCCCCCACAGTGTTGAAGAGAACTATCGAGATGGAGTTTTGCAAACCATGGTCCTGATTTCCATCCTTGGAGAAAGGCAGTAAACCTAGAGGCGAGACAGTGAAAAGCAATCTACTCCCTTCTCTCAGTATGCATGCATCTACGGCAGCTCGGAGAGTTCAGCTTGAAGAGAATGAAGTAGCATGAATTACAGTGCAGACACGTGCCAATTTTATTTACTATAAAACATCCAATACATCCCAGCTGATATGCACCACTTGACATTCAAGTTCCATAGATTACACCTTAGGTGTTACTTCACAAAGTTTTCTTTTATTTATACGGGTGCATTTTGACCAAGCTTGCATTGCTGATGTACAATATATATAGTATTTGCATAAGCCGATTTGAAATACGCAATTCGCTATTGCATTGCATGAAACAAGCTCGCCATAAACTGCTAGTTGTGAAGAATAGAGGGACTGCAGCAAGAATGACTGTTATAGGCTGGTTTGTAACTGTTATATAATAGCATGCAAACTAATGAAAAAAAAAACTTGTATAAGTAAAGCATGTAGGGAAGGGTGTTTCAGATCCACTTACGTCATCAGGTATTTGTTAGGCTAACTGATGCCTGTTTCATTCTAATTGAACCAGAAGCAAGTAGCGGGATTTATACCATTTTTATGGGTGCGCATGTGTTTTTGTGCTGGACTGCGACTACATGACACACCATGAAGACGGGAGACTCTGACAAGCCAAGCTTCTAAAATACTTCACACCTAACGAGAACCAATATTGACGCCCAGGACAAATAGTATTGCTGTTCAAAAATTGGTGTAGGAGCATTTGTCAACAATGACGTGACTAATACAACAAGGTATAACAAAATAACTGCAATCATTTATTTTGGCTACGCTCCCATGTGGCAGCCACATCAGCCGCAACAAATGCCAGCATGTTAGGACGTTATGATACCTCCCCAATACCGAAACCGTTAGGCCTAGTTCATACTGAAACATCCGCTTTCTACAGCGACCGAAATTCCCCTGTCGCCGAAACGCAGCATTGTTCGCACTGGACGCGCCCAGAGCCGCCGAATATGCCATCTATCACCGGGCGAACGCGGGATGGATGCGCTGTCACCCGGTTGTTTTCGCGGCTCGCAAACGCTACTACGCCAACCGGTGGTGTATACTTCGATGATTCTCGTACGCAGGAAGCAAGAAAAGACAGTACTGCTTACTTTGCTGGCAAGTGGCTGTCTTGTAATGCACAAAGAGCAGAAAAAATCACCGAGGCCAGCGGCGTTGGTGGGTTCGTTTTGCTCTGCAACACCGCAACAAGCTCGATCACACCAACAGCAAGCTCGGTCACCTCTTCCACGAAATATGGACGCGAAGTAGGCACAGGGTAGGTTAAACTCCCGTTGGTTTCAACATTCAGTTACGTGCACCGCGGCATAACAAGTGAGTAGGGCTTGGCCGTCATTTTTCAAAATTCCTTGACTAGCGCTCCTATTGGTCCGCGGTGACCGATTCGGTGGCAGACGCCGCAGAAATCGGTCCGAGAGCGATAGGCGCGGAGAGAGCCCTTTCGGCGGCCGGAATGCTCAGTGTGAACGCGGCCTTACTGGTTCATAGAAATAACAGCGACCACAACTGTTATTCTGGTCACTCTGATATGGTTTCCGGGACCAGTGAGCTTCGTACCCTTGGTTTCGTATTCCTTCAATGACTGTGGAGCCCTTGAGAGTGCAGATTCCCTGGGTGGCACTCACCATGTCCTTGGCATCAATATCAGCCGAGTGTTTGAGCAGCAGCTCCACCACGCCCAAGTGGCCATCCTCAGCTGCCACATGCAGCGGAGTGCGGTCTACCTTGTTGCGTGCATCTCGGCTGATGCCAGCTCGTAGAAGCACTTCAGCTGTCGTTACGTGCCCATTCTGAGCGGCCAAATGCAGGGGAGATGTGCCCAACTGCATCAGAAATGTCAAGAGGTGTTTTTTTTCCTCATAATCCACCCTTTGTTGGTAAAATATAGAACCAAAAATGCTCGCGGCTCGAAATTGTTAAGAAGACAGCATACATAAAGAAACAACGATCATCCCTCGTTATTATGTATATGGCCTGATAGTTACATTAACAAAATAAAAACATTCTACACTAATGATCTTTAGAAGATCTCAAGGTAACGATAATCTTTTATTTCCAAAACACTCCTGTCAAGCACCTGACAGTAGGAATGCTCAACCAATTTGAAGATGACTTTAAGCAAGCAAAAAGCTTGAAAACAAACAAAATGGTAATCCAACTGAGCAGTGCTGCCTTTGTATGACTTGCAAGGGGTCGAAAATTAGAAGTTGTACAAGGCATGCTAGCATCGCCAACGTGGACAAGAAAACCTCCCAAGAGCAAGCATTTACACTGTCGCATCATTCACACCATCTTTCCCGTTACCCCTTCAAGCTTCCCTACCTATGTTGTGCACAAAGATACCTAACCTCCAAAACAAATGCCCCACTCAATTACGCTTCCAAAATGAGATCACTATAGCAGTGTGTCCCTACTACAGACTGTATCAAGAAACAGTTTTCTTCACAATGTTTCAGTTTACTCACCCAGTCAGTAGTGAAAGGCGCACCACTCGTCATGAGTTGACGAACTTCTTCAGTCTCGCCATTGCGCGCACACTCCAGAAGCTGTTTTCCAAGGTCCACGAGGGACAAGGAAGGCTGTTGCACGAGTTGCAGTGGCAACGAAATCTGCAAATGGGAAGAGATGTCAATAAACTAAGAAATAGAAAGTCGTGTCTCCACATAGAATAACAGCGTTTAGCTTGTCGATACATATTGCATAAGTTCTTAAGAGCCCCTATGCTACAGAGTTTAAGAATTAAATTTCCCTGCTGCCTGAAATTACACTGCAAACATGGATATGTGCTGTGTGTGTGTGTGCACGTGTACATGAACTCATTGTTTTCAGTATCTTAGTGCTGCAACCACATTATCCCAGCAAATTTCTCAACCTCATCTGTACAACTTTTCTTCCACCCCATGCAGTGTTTCCTTTATTTTGGAATTCAGCATGTTACCATTAAAGGGGCCCTGCAACACAGTTTTGAGCATGATCAGAAAACGCCGCCGATCAGTAGTAAAGACTCCCGACAACACGCGGGCCAAATGATATAGCGCAGCACACGGCCTGGAATTCACAATAAATTGCCAATGTCGGCTGAAAATTACTTTCTCTTCCCTCAACAAATAACGGAAGACGCTCAAAAATAACTTGTAGAATGCTCACTTATCAGGCATTGGCTAATTTGAACATGGCACGCTCGGTCATTGCAGAGATTGCCGCGAGAGGCCGTCACTTGTCCACGCGTGGGTACGCAATCGCACTGAAAAAAGCAACGTATTCGAAGAAAAAAGAAAACTGTGCTCAAAGCCACAAGGCATGCATGTTGTTTTTGTTTGTCCCTCCCATCCCTCTCAGCTTAGCTTCCAGCACTTTTGTCGGGATGAGATAAGAAAAAATGCGATTGCAGCGTGTGACAAATATTTGCAACTCCGCTTGTACTGGACAAATTCTCAAATTCTCGTGGTGTTGAATTTATGAGACAATAGGCTTTTCCACTGAATTAATTTCATGGTTACTCAAAAAAGTGCTTCAGGGCCCCTTTAGTGCTTGGCAGTTATCGAGCCTTCTCACTACATTTTTTTTATTTGAACTAAGAGGTCAATATCGCACATCTGTACCCTGCCACGCTCCAGTCTAGTCCCTTAACTCTACACTGATAATTTTCCTTTTCATGGCTCACTGCAGTGTCAACAGTTAAAGGGGAGGCCTTTTTGTAAGTCGCCAGATTCCTAACTTGTAGGCAGGTACCTGTAAAACGCAGCTGCTCTATACTTTTTCTGATTAAGAATACTCGTAAACTGCCACACATTATGGGAGAATACCTACCAAATGCACTCCGATAATTATAATTCTTTTAGTTACATTGTCCCATGACTTGAATTTGCAGTCATTACCTGCCTCAAGTAGATGCATCTCCTGTACCTCTCCATCTATAGCGAACTGCTATTCTTTTCCAGGAATGTGTAGCATTACTTTAGTTTTCTGCCTATCAACATTTAGAACCTCATGCTGGTATCCTCACATATTGCTCCTCACATACTTGTGTGACTGTTGAGGTTTGAAGAGAATGAAATGCTTTTTTCATAATCTGTGAAGGCTTTATATGGTGGTCGGTTATATTCCATGCATTTCTCTGTCACCCGACTAATAGTGGGGATATGGTACAAGCGTCAAGCAGGTCTACAAAACCTTGCCTTTGTCGTTTGATTGAAGTCATAGGCATTTCTTATTCCATTACTGAGTAACATTGACAATAACCTGCAGACGATGGATAGTAAGCAGATAGGTGGTTAATTCTTGAAGTACTTGGTGTCTATTTTATTGTGGATTAAGCTGATGCTAGCGCTTGTCTACGACCGGTATATTCAAGGCCATGATGCATGGCACAGAAAGAGGTGGTCCGTTTTGCTAGAAAAATTTGTCCACTATCCATTAACTATCTGCTGTTACCTACTCCCTGTGAACCATTTTACTTGTCTAAATTTCATTTTAGGCTTTTTTTTTACTTTTCTCAGTCTTTCCGGTTGTGCAATTCCTCCATTATCATTATCATCTGATTCCATTATCATCTGCTTCCATTATCATCTTGGATGTGCCGGGTATTCTACGTCATCAAAATCGAATGCGCTACGCACACGCTCTCTCGCTGTCACTTGATGATCATCAATTCTAACTATCCGTTCTGCTGAGTATTAAAACAACCACACCCATTAAACAACCACTCCAAAGACATTCCGCGCTACGCGTCTAATGACGCTAGTAATAACTAATCGAAATACCATGCACGCAACTTGAGTCCTGTATGATGTAAAACAGGCTGCCCCGCCCACTTTCTTCGGGCTTTAACTAACCACATCCCGATTGTTTTCCGCGAGTGATCCCATGAGCATGCGTATACAGGTGCGTGTTTACAGCTTGCTATGAGCACATGGTCCGGTGTAAGCTTTCAGTAGACAGCACGGGACACGTATCAGCAGAGCTCGAAAATCTACAATCAACAATACGCACCCTCGCGATCGAGCTATGGGCTTACCTCCATGGTGTCATCAACGGGATCGTCTTGGAAAACATCCAGTACTCCTGCACAAGAAGACCGACGCGTGAGTTCGCTGCGATTCGGGTGAAAACAGCCGGCGTGAAACTTGAACGCTGGCGTCTCCCCTCAGACGCGCGACGATACAAGCAGCGTTCGCTGTTACCGTTATTAGCACACACCGACACATCACACATCTCGCTGCTACATATTGCCGAGTGCCACAGCAGGCGAACATTATGTTAACACAACACAAGCTACGTACTACAGGTGCTACCACAGAGAGAATCGTCGGAATCCGAGAGGCAATGGGACCATGCACTCGCGATCGCTTCATCAGGCAGGGGGTCAGGGCTAATGCTGCCGTCAAGATGGAGAACGCTATTAGGCCAGACCATCGCGAAGCAGCACCAAATCGGGGATGAGACGCATTCGAACGAGCTGTCACGCGCATCTTCGCGCTGAATTTGATCATTCGCGCGAGGCAGACGCCATTGAAAACAGGAAAACGGAAGGGGATCCCGAAACGGAAGCAGGCTCAGATGATCCGGCTGAAGACGCGTTTCTAGAGGCGGGGACCCGCTGCGCGCCCAGCGAGCTCGATTTTCGGGTCGCCGTTCGCAGAACGCCGCACATGAGGCCGTGCGTGAAAGATAACGCTCTCACCTTCGGCCTTTCGATGCTGCGACGAATTAAAAGACAGGCCCGCGAAGCCTGGCTTTCGTCAAAAAAGTCTGTGAAGGGGTCCGAATTTCCGGAAGTAAGACATTTTTCCGGAAATACACCTACGTTGTCTCCGTTTCCTCCGAGCTACATTCCATAGTCATTGCTGCAACGTATTACTGCGCCAGCGCTCAAACGCACGGATTGCGTTACGAAAGGCGTGATGCAGGCTTGCCTAATTTCAGTACTGCTTTTGTAGATCTCACTGCTCGTGTTGTGTAATAAAGCCTGCATAAGATAAAATTACCACGTTGTCAGAATCGTTGAGCGTTACGGTTATGGCGAACTACGTTATTTAGAATGACCTTGAGCAACGCCTCCTCTAAACAATGCCTGGGGAATGGCTCGCGCTCCCAGCAGAGTTGGGCTGCCTTCAGTTTTGAGCAAGCGCCGCGCGGTGGCGCTTGCGACCGAGACTGTATCTAAGCCTGCAGAGGTAAAACGGGGGCTTAGGCAGGGGTGCCCCCTGTCACCCTTATTATTCATGATGTACCTACAAGGACTAGAGGCAAAATTAGAGGGAAGTGGACTGGGCTTCAACCTCTCTTTAGTCAAACAAGGAAAACTTATTGATCAGGCACTACCAGCATTAATGTACGCAGATGATATAGTGCTAATGGCCAACAACAAGGAAGATTTGCAGAGATTGATGGACATCTGCGGTATTAAGGGAGATAGGTTAGATTTTAGATTCAGCAGGGAAAAATCAGCCGTCATGATTTTCAATGACAACGAAGGTAGTGAGCTTAGAATACAGGAGGTCACGCTAGAGATAACAGATAAATACAAATATCTGGGCGTATGGATAAGCAATGGGACCGAGTATCTGAAGGAACACGAAATATACGTGACGACTAAAGGTAACAGGAATGCAGCAGTCATGAAAAATAGGGCACTGTGGAATTACAATAGGTATGATGTTGTGAGATGAATATGGAAAGGGGTCATGGTTCCTGGGCTGACGTTCGGCAATGCGGTCTTGTGCATGAGATCAGAAGTTCAAGCAAGATTAGAAATTAAGCAACGTGGAATAGGTAGGCTTGCTTTAGGAGCTCACGGGAATACACCAAATCAGGGAGTACAAGGTGATATGGGATGGACATCATTTGAGGGCAGGGAAGCTAGCAGCAAGATAAAATTTGAGAAGCGATTGAGAGAAATGGGGGAGGAGCGTTGGGCTAGGAAGGTTTTCAGCTACTTGTACATGAAGAATGTCGATGCAAAATGGAGGAAGCGAACCAGGAAGTTGACTGGTAAATACTTCGAAAACAGCAGGTGGCCAAAAACCAAAAAGAACTATCGGTTAAGAAGAAAGTGAAGGAAACGAAGACTGACATGTGGAGAATGGGCATGATTAAGAAGTCCGCACTAGAGATCTATCGAACTTTTAAGCAGGAAATTGCCAAGGAAAGGATATATGATAATACTCGGGGTAGTTCTCTACTGTTTGAGGCCAGGACGGGAGTACTGCGAACCAAGACATACCGGGCCAAATACGAAGGGGTAGACACAGTATGCAGTGCGTGTGGAGAGGAAGAAGAAACTGCCGAACACTTGATAATGTTCTGTAAAGGTCTTCACCCTATAGTTCAGGATGATGGCGCAGAGTTTTTCAAAGCACTGGGATTTAGGGACAGAGAGGGCAAAATAGACTTTAAGCGGGTAGACTTAACTAGAAGGAGGTTATCTGATTGGTCGCTAAAGTCAAGGCACGAGTGAAAATTAAACCCTTCACTGTGAAGTACGAATCCTCAACTTCATTATTTAAAGGAAAAAAAAGATAAATGTAATGATTAGTTCACTAAGTATTACGGCTAGGTGGCGTTAGCCGCCGCCCGATCTAAAGGGTACAGCCACATCCATACATCCATTATTATTAAAAAAAAAGATAGAAAGTCAATGCGAAATTTTGGAACCATCTAAACTCCTTAAGAAATGAGACGAGCCTAGAGCAGAGTTTTATAACTACAGCCCAAGGTGCCAGGCTAGAAGGGGACGAAGCAATTGAATATATAAGAGCAAGGGTGACAGAAAAATTTCAACAAAGAAGTACTTTATGCACCACAATAGACAAGGACGAATCAAGTGGTACAATGGCTCCATTTTCAAAACGAGAGTGGGAAAGGGCTGAGAAAAGGGTTCCTAGTAGTACATCAACAGGCCCAGATGGCATTCCAATTAGGCTGATAAAGACATTAGGTCCGAAGTCTAAGCAGGCTTTGAGAGAGGCAGTGAGCAAAATAATAATCGATGGTGAAGTTCCCGATGGATGGAAACTTAGCAGGATGAGCATGATCTATAAAGGAAAGGGGGACAAAGCTGACATAAACAACTACCGTCCTATAACAGTGACATCAGTGGTCTACAGGCTGGCGATGCAGATTATAAAGGAAAGACTGCAGGCATGGATAGAAGATGAGGTGGTGCTGGGGGAACTGCAGAATGGGTTTCGGAAACACAGGAGGTTGGAAGACAATCTGTACTCACTGACACGGTGCATCGAAATAGCAGAAAAGAAACACAGGCCTCTGTGGCTAGCATTCTTGGATATCAAGGGAGCGTACGATAGCGTGGTTCAAGAGGAATTGTGGGGAATACTGGACACACTAGGCGTGGAACATGTAGTCACTAATTTTTTAAAGGGTATCTATAAAGGTAACAAGGTAGTTATAAAGTGGGAAAAACAGGTATCCAAGCCTGCAGAGGTAAAACGGGGGCTTAGGCAGGGGTGCCCCCTGTCACCCTTATTATTCATGATGTACCTACAAGGACTAGAGGCAAAATTAGAGGGAAGTGGGCTGGGCTTCAACCTCTCTTTAGTCAAACAAGGAAAACATATTGATCAGGCACTACCAGCATTAATGTACGCAGATGATATAGTGCTAATGGCCAACAACAAAGAAGATTTGCAGAGATTGATGGACATCTGCGGTAATGAGAGAGATAGGTTAGATTTTAGATTCAGCAGGGAAAAATCAGCCGTCATGATTTTCAATGACAACGAAGGTAGTGAGCTTAGAATACAGGAGGTCACGCTAGAGATAACAGATAAATACAAATATCTGGGCGTATGGATAAGCAATGGGACCGAGTATCTGAGGGAACACGAAATATACGTGACGACTAAAGGTAACAGGAATGCAGCAGTCATGAAAAATAGGGCACTGTGGAATTACAATAGGTATGATGTTGTGAGATGAATATGGAAAGGGGTCATGGTTCCTGGGCTGACGTTCGGCAATGCGGTCTTGTGCATGAGATCAGAAGTTCAAGCAAGATTAGAAATTAAGCAACGTGGAATAGGTAGGCTTGCTTTAGGAGCTCACGGGAATACACCAAATCAGGGAGTACAAGGTGATATGGGATGGACATCATTTGAGGGCAGGGAAGCTAGCAGCAAGATAAAATTTGAGAAGCGATTGAGAGAAATGGGGGAGGAGCGTTGGGCTAGGAAGGTTTTCAGCTACTTGTACATGAAGAATGTCGATGCAAAATGGAGGAAGCGAACCAGGAAGTTGACTGGTAAATACTTCGAAAACAGCAGGTGGCCAAAAACCAAAAAGAACTATCGGTTAAGAAGAAAGTGAAGGAAACGAAGACTGACATGTGGAGAATGGGCACGATTAAGAAGTCCGCACTAGAGATCTATCGAACTTTTAAGCAGGAAATTGCCAAGGAAAGGATATATGATAATACTCGGGGTAGTTCTCTACTGTTTGAGGCCAGGACGGGAGTACTGCGAACCAAGACATACCGGGCCAAATACGAAGGGGTAGACACAGTATGCAGTGCGTGTGGAGAGGAAGAAGAAACTGCCGAACACTTGATAATGTTCTGTAAAGGTCTTCACCCTATAGTTCAGGATGATGGCGCAGAGTTTTTCAAAGCACTGGGATTTAGGGACAGAGAGGGCAAAATAGACTTTAAGCGGGTAGACTTAACTAGAAGGAGGTTATCTGATTGGTGCTAAAGTCAAGGCACGAGTGAAAATTAAACTCTTCACTGCAAAGTACGAATCCTCAAACTCACTTTTTAAGGAAAAAATAAATAAATATAGTTTTGAGTTCATTAAGTATTACGGCTTGGTGGCGCTAGCCACTGCCCGATCTAAAGGGTACAGCCATATCTATTCATCCATCTATCCATTATCACAGCAGCGGGCAGTACCACTATACCACCGTACCAGCTAAGCGTTTTTCATCTGCGGCCCATAGGGGCGCGTCAGTCGAGAATTGTTCGAGACCTGCAGCTGTGCACCACTATTTCTGAGGCTATGCAAAGTGCTGCGTTGTTGCACCGTCTGCCACAAGTGACGCTAGCGACCGAGAGCATTTTCAGAGTGAAGGAGAGAAAGGGGGTGTGCAGCTGTTTTTCTTCTCATGCGGCAGGCATCTTCCTAGAGGAGGCGTTGCTTGAGATACGTCAAAACCGTTAACAAACTGCAGTTTCCAGTGCCGGACGTCCGTAATAAAGAACATAAAAAATCTGAAAAAAGAAATATTAGTGACAAAATTTCGCGTGTACATATAAAGCTAATCATTTGAGCAACATTTTTTTGTGGTTGCCAACAACTGCACAAACATTCGAAACCATAGATGAAGAAATAAACTATATGTTCGAAACTATGGGCAACTCAAACACGGTTTTTAATTACAGTTCAGAATTAAACCGCATTTGGCGCTCATTCTACTCCAAATCGACAAAGCATCAATGCAAGTCAAGGACTCTGTGAACTTTTATTGTTAATGAAAACATGCCGCGTGGCTTCTGCTGACGCTCAAAGTTGG